CTCAGCGTCAAAAACAATATCTATTAGTGGTCGTTGACTATTTTACTCGGTGGATCGAAGTATTCCCTATGCGAACCACTACCGGTTCGGATATTGCTAACGTATTGGTCAACGAAGTTATCTGTCGGTATGGCTGCCCGAAATACATTCTGTCCGACAATGGACCTCAGTTCATTTCCGATATATTTCAACAAGTATGTATGGTTTTATGAGTTAAAAACAAATTTACTGCATCCTATCATCCTCAAACCAATATGACTGAACGAGTGAACCGTAATCTGAAACCTATGATTGCCCAATATACTCAAGGTGGACCTCAATCATGGGATAAAGAAATACAGAAACTTGCGTTTGCTTTACGCACATCTGTTAACGAAACCACAGGGGAAACTCCAGCATTTCTCAATCTCGGTCGCGATCCCAAATTACCTATCGATATCTTAACCGACACCACACCTACAGGACCACCCTTGCCACCTACAACAACAGCCATTGTAAATTATAGGTCCCAGTTAGTGCAGAACCTTCAGTATGCTCATCGGGTACCCTATGATCATTCTGAAGTAGCGAAAGCTCACCAGAAACGTCAGTATGATAAACATACTACCAACAAAACGTTTCATACGGGACAATTAGTATGGGTTGCCATAGCACAAGGTCAGCTCGCTGGTAAATGGCATGCGGGAAAACTTAATCCGCGTTGGCAAGGGCCCTGCCGTATTCCCCGTCAGTTTGCACCTTCCTCATTTAGCGTTAGAAGATTAACTGATGGATGTGACCTAGGCACGGCTAACTCGGAGCGTTTAAAATCCTATTACGAACCGCTTGATAGCTCGAGCATCCCGATGATCACATTGCCCGATAATTCTTCACTTACTACTTCAGCATCTATACCGCCGTTGATGTCTCTTCCTGTCAGTTCTGTCCCAATTACAGACTTGCGAAGATCCAAACGAATAATCAAGTCGATCAAGCGGGACGGAATGGTTAATGAAATTCTTTCATAAATTTCACATATAGTATAACCTTGATCTCTGCAAATTCTTTTTCTCAGTCTCTTCTTTTATTCGCTTTTTCTTGAATACCAAGATATGTTTTTCTTCCTTTCTCTCCTTTTTTAATTTATTTCTTTTCTTTTTGTCGTTCTCTTTCTTCAGCTATCTTCTTTGTTTTATCGGACAAATACTGTACGATATCGTAGTTTTCATTTCGATTGACCTTGACCACTCTCTTCTTTATTTTATCAGACAAATACTATACGGGATCATAATTTTCATTTCAATCAGCCTTCACCATTTTTCTTTTACAACTACTAACGAAAGCACTCAAAAGGAACACGGTAAGCTCACATATTGTTATCTAATACAGTACAAAATGAGTATACCTGTTGCCTCGCTTGTTGCCGAGGCCAGCTCGTCCTTTTCTGATATATTGGATAATAACACTTTCGACGATCCGATTGAGAGAACAGCTCAATATATAGCTAATTTAACAACATCAGCGGATGATCTACCCGATTTGGCGGCACTATTTCGTCGACGTACGGTTTACTCACCATTTCAAAAAGCAGTTCTGGATAAAGCGTTTCGCATTTGCCATTATCCATCCGTCCGTATGATTCAACAATTATCAGTAGAGATCGGTGTCGCACCAGATCGTCTAAGAGTTTGGTTTAATAATCGTCGTCATCGATATAAACGTCAAGAATCGCTCGCGCGTATAGCAACTCGCACATTCTCACCTCATTCTGGATGCGCTTTAACATGCTCTCCAATGCCGATTATTACACAAGTTACACCTGGAGACGAACCGTATCCCTTCACAGCATTATGGAATCCATCGGCTCGGATGGCTCGGAGTTCGGTTAGTCACCAAAATCCCTCCATTTTACCGCCTCCGGGTAGCATGCCGCGGTTATACCCCTCATATAATCAACGAACCCCAACCAACTCAACTGGGACAACGACACTGGGTAATGTACACGAACCAGCTTATGGTCCAGTTCCTCTGTTTAGGCAATAATACCAGGTCATTTTCACTATTAGCATAGCTCTTAACTCCCAGTTTCAAAAAAAAAACAAAAAAAAACAAAAAAAAATACTACTGCAGTGAGGAAGGTATAATGATCGTCTGATGTGGCATTCCAGAGGGTTCATAGCAGGAGATGGACGCGGCACGATTTGAAGAAGGGGTGTCCCGAATTGCCTCAGACGGGGAGAAAACGTGGTTAGCTGCTGACTGTTGCTTAATGGACGGACTGGTGGCTTTGAGCCTAGTGCTCTGGCTTTTGACTTCTTCACAAAGTATCGGTCTCCCAAGATCAGCGGATAGACGCTCTTCTCGCTCCTCGTGATAAATACCACATAGCCTGGTAAACTTTTCGGATAAACCGTCGAATCCTCGAGTAAGTTGGTCATCCATCTGAATAAGTTTTTCGTCTAATTGTCGAAGTTGCAAATCCTGCTGCTGCTGGCGGGCATGTAAATCCTGGACGGTATTTGTCGTGTCGTCCTTGACAGTTCGAACAGCCTCGAGCACTAAGTCAAGACGATCTTTAAGACGGCTCAATTCGACGTCATGCTGCTGCTGGCGGTGATGAAGAGTCTGTATATCAACTCAAAAAAATGAATCGGGTGAAATGATTGTTAATATACCGATTCAAGGTTCAAATGAACAAGAAAAGTTTGATTCTGTCCTAGAGAAAATCACTACCCCAACTAGTGATTCTGAAAATAGGCAAAATAGTGAAAGAAGTTTGGAAATTGATCCGAAAAATTTAGAGGACACGAATGCTATTAGTAATGATGGAAAAACAAAGAAAGTGAGTGACAGTATATAACCGAGCATTGTTTTTTCTCTTTACAAAAAAAGAAAATTCCCATGCATTCAGATCGTTGTAATGATCTATTTATCTCCTTTAGAAAAGTGGAAGAAAAAGAAAGTCGAAAGATTATGAACTAATTTTAAATGTGAACATTTCATCCTTTATTGAAAAAGATGAAACGTTAAAAGATGAAGACTATATTACAAAACTAACAACATTTGTTATCTCGGTCTGTAAAGAAAAAAATTTGAATTGTATCGAATCGTCCGTTCGGAAAGAAGTTGTCAACCAACTTGCATTATTAAGATCGGAACACAAGAAAAATTGTAGGAAAACAAAAAAACGTGCGTCAGACTCATGGCCAAGCAAAATCATTCATATTAATCTGGAAATTCCACTAGATTTATTATTTTCTGCACCAGTCTTGTTTGATGATGCTTATATCTTCAAGCTACCCGATAACGACGTGCCAAAATTATGTATGACAACAGACGATAATGACGATAATACTAATGATTCACAAAACATACACTTCATGAAAAATTCATCTGTAGAGATTATTTCTGAAAATATCGTTCAGGTAATCATTGAAAAGGATTTAATACGTCGTATTATTCCAAATAACCAATTCAGTGACGAAAAAATGATAATTAATTTTATTCGAGCAATCAAAAATCAAATGATGGAATTGAATATATCGGAAGATCGCATTAGCTCATCTTCCATCCGCCGTGCGTTACTCATGAGAGCTCGCAATGTTTTCGCCGAAAAATCCGATATGAATGGCAAAATCAGTTTTTCATTTGAAATTGCAGCTTTGACAGAGGTATGGAAAATTTTCATCGCCGTTCAAAGAACAGCGATAACGCAGTCCTTCCGCACTGAATTTCTTTTTCACCTTTCGCAACTGCAGCAATACAGCATAGAAATTTCATCATCATCTGACAGAGTCCAAAACAGGTCTGTGAATCCCGACACGAGCCGAAAGTTTTTCCTACCACTCAAAACTGATCCGACGATTCTTTATCTCAAAAAACCTGTGTAAAATTCACAATTCACTCAGAAAACATCAGAACGAGTCCAAAACTTCAGGATATAGTTCTGTCCGCCAGACATGGTTACAAAATTAAAAAAATTAAAACGTGATACTATATCCTGAAGTTTTGGACTCGTTCTGATGTTTTCTGAGTGAATTGTGTATTTTTAATAATACATGAAAACAGGCGGAAAACCCTGATTTTTGAAAAACTTGGTTTTCGCTAGATTTTAAAATGTCTGTTTAAAAGCAAATAATGTCACGACATTCACCATAGTCGAAACTTATATTTCCATGCATTTCTGAGATTCATTGACTGAAACGAAGAGCAATCCTACGGCTCCCAGGAAAACATCGTGCCCTGCGCAACCATGACAGATGAAACTCTCGCTTATGTTCCATTTTGTGGAGAACACTTTAATCTATCTATTTATGAAAAATATCAATGTATTGCTATGTCGAATTTTTCAGTTAGGAAACGGTTTTCCAGAGATTCCTTTGAAAACCGATTTTTGAGAAAGTTTTTTAAACATTTCCTTCTCATGAAAAATTAAGTCTTGGCTATCGAACAACGAAAATCGCGAGTCTTCACCTACTTTCATTCAACAGTTATTAAAAGAGTGACCACCGGTCTTCTATTTTGGTTTCGATAATAGATGTAGGAACAATCGAGTAATATCGAGTACTCGGGCTCCGTGCAAGCCTAGTCACCTATATCGACTTGCCTGTCAACACAAATACTCAGTTGTTTTTAATATTCAGGGGGAACCGAATGTTATGCAAACAAGATCAATGACGAATCCCGATCGAGAATCTAGTTATATTGATTATGCATTAAATTATTTATTTTGTAGTCAAGCAGATAAATTTTCATGTGATGACGAACGACTTCTAGAAAACCATTATTATAGAGCATTTCTCTCATGGAAAATTCAAAACTACCTATCTGATTCCGGTTATCAGGAATTAAACAGGATTGAAAAGAAATATCAGGTGAAATGTCCCCATTTTCGACTATCAAAAGATTGAAAAATTTATATGGAAATTGGATACCATTACATACAATAGAAAACGGTTGTTTCATGAACGTACGTCATGCTATATTACTTTAACAAGTTTAAATCGACATATTTTAGAAGATTTAAAAGACAAACATGTGCTACACTTTCGTCTTTGTCAAGACGGAACGTGGATCGGACGATATTTGAATTGTATAGCTTCATCATTAGCATGGATAGATGCTGGGGAACAGTGTCAAAATGCTCTATCATTAATACCGTTATCATTAGTACGTGTTAAAAAAGAAAATAGGGAGAATGTCGAATTAGCATTATCAACAAAATTTATTAACATGTTCCAACCTGGACAAGTTATGGAAATATTTGGTGTTGAATATAACATCATTTTTTCGTATTCTGCCGATTACAAAATGGTTTCACAAGTAATGGGACTAGCGGAGCCGTGTTCGAATCATTTTTGCAACTGGTGTAAAATTAGTCGTTTAAAATTACTGAATAGTATTAATGTGGAAGACAAGACAGATTCATTACGGACGTCAAAAGTCAAAAAAGCAAAAACTGATGAAAAAGAGATTGAAACGAATTCAAAAGACAATATAAATTTTTTTATCACCAACTATATTTTGTTGAGAAAATTTTACTTATGAAACCTCCCATTTGTGATAGGCTTTGAATAAAAAAAGCTGTGATCGAAGAGATAAATCTGCTACGAAATCGATTACTATAGAAGAAGTAGAGAAGAAAAATACAGTGACGAAAGGTGGAAAAAAAGATGAAGTAATAAAAAAACAAGAGAATGAAGAAGAGAAACGGATGAAGGAAAAAGAAAAAGAGAAGAAGGCTCAAACAGAACAATTACCTTCATTTATTCGTAACTGGTCGGCATTTTCCGAAGATCGTGGTGCAAGAACAGTGCAAGAGCAAAATGAAATTTTGAATTCTGGCGATAAACAAAATTATAGCTATGTTCGTGCCTCACTGTACAAAAACTATTTTGAGTATGCACAATCATTTTCAGCTTTTGCTCCTTTTTCAGTCATACTTTGTTTAGGGCTGTGACAGTTACCAGTTACCGTGACCACCGTTACTCGGTAACGGTAACTGCTGAACAGTTCCCGTTCCTGGTAACGGTAACGGATAAGCAGTTACCGTACAAGTAACGGTAACGACCAGTTACAAGTAATGGTAACTGT